TTTTACGCCTAAGAAAATGAATTAAACTATTCGTGACTTGGGCGATTCGGAATTACAGGCGCGCGGGCAAGGAATTTCTATCAATTCCTCTCGATCCATTGATTCTTCGATCGCGATTACAAGACTTGGACTATTCTACGTGCCGTTACAGTAATCTAGAAAATCCTAGAATGTAACTATTCGACGTTACCTGACGTCGGGGAGCGATGGAGGACACCCTTGCGATTTTAACGAGAGTTTGCGCCTGACGCACGAAAGAAAGACAGAAAGAGTTGCCCCGATTGGAAATTCCCGTATGCACGACTCGTCAATGGTGCGATGCGGACTAACACACACGATCAGTCCCTCTCCTGCGACTAATCCACCCGTGTACTAACCCACACGCCTACTAACTCACGTGACATAGAATGCAGTCAATTTAAGCCTATATGATGGCATTGTAGTGGAACCATTATAACCGTGTGTGGGAGGGAGGGAAAGAGAGAAAGAGGGAGAGGGGGAGAGAGAGAGAGAGAGAATGAATGAATAAATGAATGAATGAAGGAAAAGGGGAAGAAGAAATACATATGTATACGTCCGTATCGTGCCAGTGACAGCAGCGTGCCCGAGTCGAGTCCATTATGGAACGTTGACTGTTTCAGTTTATCCGCTCGACCGCAGGTCCGATGGCGGGAGAGGAGAAGGTGTGACTATCAGCCGGCTGCGTCGGCGGTGCCGAGGGACGACGACTGCGATAAACGATTGCCGAGCGAGGACCAGCAGCTCCAGCAGCCGCAGCAGACGGTGCAGGTGATCGCCGCGGGCCGGCCAGGTAATCACGGCAACAACAACCACACGCGGGTGCTCATCAAACGCGGCGGAAGCGGCGGCGGTGGCGACGATTCTTCCCACGACGAGTGCGATCAGACGCAGTGTTGATCGAGCCACGGGACCACGTACAACGATTACATCTCCCCCGTCCCGAAACCAGACAGGCGGCAACCGGACAAACCGGAGTCGGCGGAATATTTCGCTGATTCACCAATGTATGCCGGGTTTCGCGTTGGTAACGGTAAACCAGCGTGGAACGGAAGGTGTATTGTATCTTATTTTCTTACGTGTAATATAATCATTCATTTCAACAAGTTTTCTTCCTCTCGCGATTATACGTGCGCTCCTCTTTGGCGTTGCAGAGGGAAGAGCAATGCAACGAAATGACGTAAATTCGCATCGAGTATTTTAAAAAGACTTGCACTACCTCTCCGCTCCACCGCTCAATATCAAACGGAGCTGCGAAAAGGTGCGATCAAAGATACTTTGCACTATTACTGGGAATCAAAGTTCGTCTTGAGAAATTTACCAACACAATGAAGCCCAAACTCTAAAAGCTCCAAGATTTACTTTGTTAATTAACCCCCCGGTCGTCGCGCGGACTCTTTAAAAGTTCGATGTTTCAGTCAAACGCGTTCTTTTTTTTCGTAAGAAAATATTAACTTGTGACCTTTCCGCTAAACTTGGATATTCTCGCGAAGCGATATATTCTGCACAAAATCCGACAACCTAATTAAACAAAGAAAATAATTGAGTTCTCGACACGAGACATATAAATTGATCTTTTACATTAGGATTTCTCAAGAACCCGACGCGTCGACTCGGGTTGCGCAAAATGGCGCGATGACTGAAGAGTTAATTTCATGTAACGTGAATCTCGTGTATAACGAAACATAAAAATGCGCGTGTTTACTATTTATTAATTTGAGGAAGAAAAATCATATCAGAGTAACGATACGATCGTCGTTTTTATACTAGTGAAGAATTTGCTATTATTTCTTCGTGCAATGTTTGAAAAGTGATCTGTTAGCGTTAGTGTTTCTTGTCAATCGTTTTACTAAATGTAAATGATGCAATTTATTTGTATATATTTACCATCTACGTGACGTTATATAGATATATCGGTCGATTGTATAATATGTATGTCGATACTCATTGTCCGCGACACCATCGTAATAAAAGGAATCTGTAATTAGAATAAATGTTAATACTATACATACTAGTCTTAACTGTATCATAAAATAGACCGCAATTTTTTTAAATCATGAGTAAAACGAATTAAGTTTTTGAGAATAAATTTATTGATTTAGGGGGGGAGAAGCGCTTCGTGAAACTCAATGAAAGAGTTCGTCTAAAGCAATTGAGAAAGAACTTTGGGAATTTTCAAGAATCTGAAATATAAAAACATCCCAAATTTAGGTACGATTAACGTTTAAGATGTTTTCAAAACTTTAAACTTTTCTCCGTCACAGAAGCGACAATGGCCAAAGAATTTCTTATTTCGTATATGATTGTAATCTTGTACAATCGTTTTATTACATGTGTATATATATATATAAAATTCTATGTAATGTATCGATTGTAAACAGTTCTATAAAAGGTAAAATGTGTGTATGTACAATAGCGTGTATATCTCGATGGTTGTAAGAAATTCATATCTCTACAAACGAAACGAATCTGAAGAAAAGTGTTTAAGAAATTTAATATATTTTGCGAAAAAAAAACACAAATAAACTAACCAGTCTCGATTTAACTGTATGATTATTTTCTCGAATATTACCATTCCTCCATGAAGATGAAAACATCAAATTAGAACACAATAGCAAAGGTAAGATTAAAATGTCGAATAATGAATATACTTGCGTGCTTTACAGGTAAAAATTGTTTATCGAGTATTTTGTGTCAAACGAACGGGAAAATGACCGACGTCCTTCATAGGTTTGCTTTATCAGATTAAAGTAGTCTTGTGTTAATGAAAAGTTCTTTATACGTATAGACGTAATCTCCAAGATCCATCGCGTGTATTTCCTCGCTTTTGACATCGTAGCTAGGGCGACCGAGTTAGGCACACGTTTCTGGTCTTTTTAGGACTCCGGACCAGTTCGCAGCTGCCATATTAAATTATAACATCAGAAGCAAGAAATCAGACGTAATTTCTTCTTGCAATGTACGTCGAAATAAATGAAATATTTCCTCGGGAAGGAAAATTGACAATCTCAATTTCATTTATCGTATCTTTACCGATACAGCGATATTTTATTGTTCAGTTACACTTTGAAGATTAGATTTGCTTTAACATCTTTTAAATTTATATGTTGGATATATTGATGTAATTCGTTAAACTTTTGCTTTAAAATATTATTCACGAGTAAAAATAGAAATAATATGCGATGTGTATGTGTGATTTTCGTGTATACATAGTTATCAATTATGCACACTTTTAAAGGAGGATATAATCGCGCGGGGAAAGGATAAAATAAGAAATTCCATCTGCAAAAACACATGGAGAATAATTATTGTAATCTGAGAATTGTGTGAACAAATATATGAATAATTTGTGGTAAATTATACATGTTACGTTCTCGCATGTCAGTATTACACAATACATATTTTCGCTCCAGTCGTGCAGAGCAGAAAAAAGCATCGGAAATGATATTAAATGACGTTGATTCCATCGCCATATCTTGTTAACTTTGTTTTCGTTACGATTAGAAGTTTATCCGGACTGAACAATTTTTATGCATAATTGTGTAAGGCATACTCATGCATGATTCAGCTGAATATGTATAAATAACACACATTCATAATATGTAAATTGTGAATGTACTCTTTATTTTTATAATCATTCTATAAACTTAAAATGCAGCAATAGTCGCATTTAGTGGCACTAACCCGTAAATATTAGCAATTGTTATATAAAAAAAGAATACGATTTTAAATGACGTGGGAACAATACTGGAACGATATACACATATCTATAAATATTACGAGTTTTAAATAAATATACATATGTACATGTACATACAATATGTATGTATACATATAATACACATATACTTTTTAAAGTCATAATATTTAGAGATACTATAAATTTTCATACGATATTTAAATATTTCTCTAAATAACCGTCAACATTCCAATTTTACCCCCTCCCCCCCCGCTGCAATATCAAGTAGATCGTTCACATACAATCGCATCATACACATGGCAAATCAGTGATTATTCTTCGTAAAGAGCGCATAATGTATCTTAGAAATTACTTTGGAATGAATATAATAAATAATAAGGAAAAAAAAGAGATCGTTGACATGTTAGAAATCGATAAGGATAAACACTATCTTTAAAAATCAACTTTCTACACCTAATTTTTCGTCACTATGCATTCATAAAAAACTGCGAAATTAAAAGAAACCTTGATCCAAACATACAACGATTCTTTCTCCCGTTGATACACGACTCTTAGTTGAAAAAAATTTGACTGAAAAATTGAGAAAATCTGCAAGACGGTTAAATTATGATATAATACAAAGTAATTATCATCGCATTAATCTCAATTGTTAATAATTGTAATCGAGGTACGCTTTCTTCCTTTAATATATAAGTCTTCAGTCGCGTCTGTATCGTTCGACATACACGCATGCACTCGCTCATGTACAAACACACTCGCATTACGTAACTGTACAGATGGATAATTTAAAGCTATTATTCACATTAAACTCCTTTATTTCTTTCATTTCCATAAAAAATATAGCGAGTGTGCACGATTATCGCTTCCTCTTCGCTACACTAAGAAAAAGAATCCTAAAAGATAGGACGCTAAATCTGTCTTGACATAAAAGATACATATATCTGTTATTTCTGTTATAATACATCCGACTCTCTTCTTATGCATCGATTCGATAGTTTCAGTTTTAATACAGTTCTGTCATCACTGATGATACGAATTCGCACAGAAAAACACATAGAAATCATAATATTTAATCGATTTGCACAATTTTAATTGTAGAAAACAGACAAACGCGCAATCGCATACAAATAATGGCATAAAAATTAACGCGTTTTAGCAAATGTATTTCGTCACTTTACATTTTTAGAACAATTGGTATAGTTTATTTTCCACATGCTTTTAAATAAATAAAAAGTTTATTTATTTATTTGAAGAAAAAGATTACTATATGATTTAAGAAAAAAAAGGGATTTAATTCTAACGCGTAATTTTGTAATTTTGATCCTGCCTAGCAGAGTTTTTAATTTAAAACAGAACTAAATTATCAAGATGATAAATTTGTGTCCTATTGTCTAGCGGATGGCATGTGACGTAAACAGGGCGGCGGGAATTGTTGTCGGAGCATATTATTGTCAAAAAAGTGTCACCGATATAAATAAACGATACGTATATATAATGTAATCAATCGCTGAATATCGGAAACTAAAAAACATACTGTAAATTATACCTTTTACAATAAACTAAATATCGCCTTATGTATATAGTACACTATTTAATAATTCAAAATTTTATTACCTTTCGAAACGATTAGTCGGAAGCTTGCAACGTTGCGCAATTCGTGAATGCAAAGCCTCTGGCAGATCAATGAAAACGAAACGTGTTTTCCTTTGTCGCATCTTTCTCACTCCACTCTCTTTTACAGTCTATCAAAAATCCTCCAAAGCTATAAACTACAAGCTTACTCTACTATACAATATTGTTATCGTTTTGTTTTCAAGGTACATGTTGTTTTCCGAGGTTCTCAGTTCCAAACACATCCATATTAATTATCTTACACTTTATTACAGATTTATTATCCTAGATCTTTCTCTCTCTCTCTGTTTTGGCACTCGCGTCCTACTGTTTCTGCACGTCACTGCTGTTCTCCTCGATGTCACCCTCTGTACTATCCTCATTCTCCGATGTATCCTGAACGTAGGACATACTACCTTGCATCTCATCCGTTTGCATGACGTCGGTTTCGTTTCGCGTCGCATAATCCTCTTCCTCAATCTCGTAAGCGTTCTCTGGGTAAATATACTGCGCCGCTTCAGCATTAGAGTCCTCGTTATCGATATCTAACATGTTTTGTTCTATCAATATCTGATTACCTTCCGCGTCATTAGCCACCATTAACACAGTTCCGTCCAGATTATGCACTTCGTGCACTTGATTGTCTCCATCACCCTCTCTACTATTATCCACCACATTTTCATACGCGGAATCCTCTTCAAAGTCATCGCCCTCGTTCACTTCTATTTTGCAGTACACCTTACTGTATTCCTCGTTTCTCTCCACATCCCTGTCTCCAATGTCGGAATTGCAATCGCCATTGTCGATTCCGTTATCGTCCAAGTTCTCGTCCCATGTTACAGGCAGATCATTGTTATTAGCCGCAAAGAGGTTGGCTGCGTTCTCCACATCGTTTGGCATTTCGGTTATTTCGCACTCCTCCAGGTCGCACTCCTCTTTAGTTATACTCAACGAAACCATCGGACTGAGCTTGTGCCTCGTGCGATCCGTCATATCGCTGTGATCCTCAGATTCGTTTTCTGGTAACAAAGGCATTATTGGACTCAACACAGGCGGTCCATCATCGTCGTCGTCGTCGTCGTCATCGTCTTCATCATCATCTTCTTCTTCTCCCTCCTCCTCCTCCTCCTCTTCTTCCTCTCTCTCGGCTGCGGCTGCGCCCTCATTCTCACTTTCATCCTCAGCCTCAGCCTCAACTTTAACCTCAACTTTAACTTTAACCTCAGCCTCAGCCTCAGCCTCAGCCTCAGCCTCACCTTCATCTTCATCTTCATCTTCATCCTCATCTTCATCCTCATCTTCATCTTCACCTTCTTCCACTTGCTCATTTTCATTCATTTCCTCGTCGTCTTCTTCATTATCGCCATCGTCATCATCAGACAAATCTACATCGCTCGCTGCAGCTTTAGCGGATTCCTCGAGACGAAATACCTGAAATTTGTCCATGTTTGCGGACGCATTGGAAATCAAAAGATCATTCAAATTACTTTGTTTAGTTTGTTCTGCAACTGTCGCTACGGTAACGGACGTAAGATCGGTTTTCTGGTCCTTGGCAGTCTTCTCCATCGGCATCTGTTGAATGCTGCCATCGCGAATCCTGAATCTACCGATATCGCTCATTTGCAGCGTTTTCTTTTCCGTCACGTTCACTTCCGTTTCGTCCATGTCCGACTCGTCGTCACTGTCGGAATTACACGATACGCTATCACCGCTGTCCCTACTAGTGGTTCTTGCATCAGACTCATTTTCGTTTTCATTTTCTTCCTCCTCCTCCTCTTCGTTCTCGTTTTCATCGTCGCTCGAACTACTGTTACTATCGCTATCTGAATCATCGCTATTATCCGAGTTGTCTTCTTCACTATTTTCCGAGTTGTCCTCGTCATGGATATCCCTACTCCTTTCGCCGTCCGATTCGAAATCTTCCGCTTCCTCCACTTCCTCGATGACCGATGTCTCGTCGGCGATTAAACTGCCCTTCTCGTCGTTGTCGTTCTTTGCGTTCTCTTCGTCCGCCACCGCGTTATCTTCAAACTCCGGCTTGCCAGTGCAGCTCGTTATATGCTCGGTGAGTTTATCCTCGCTCGGGAAACCTTGCTGGCACTTTTGACACCGGAAGTTGCCAATATGGATGCTCATGTGCAACAGCAATTTGCTTCTCGCGTTGTGATACCTGCCGCACGTCTTACAAGTGAAATTGTTGCCCTCCGGCGACAAAACGGGGGCATGCTCGGCCTTCAAGTGATCCGCCAAATCTTGATAAGATTTACACAGCTTCAGGCATACGCCACATGTAACGGCAGCTTCGGCGCGATGGAAACGAATCAGGTGCTGCCACAAATGTTTCTTGGCGGGCCACTGCTTACCGCAGACTTCGCACGTGCACTCGGTATTGGTTGATTCATCGTACACCTTGCGCGAGTCTTTCCTCGAGCACTTGCTGTTGCCCGTCGCCTTCATCTGCGACAATGGCATAAGATTCGGCACAGGTTTCTGGGCGGACAATTGCAAATTGATGTCTTCGAATAGATTGAAGTCGGGAATGTTCAAGTTGGATTCGTTCGTCAGCGGTGGCTCTTCTCGCTGTGCCTGATTATTGTTTTTCAGATGAGACTCGAGAATTGACGTCGACACATTATTCGGGGCATCAAATCTACCTGTCGAGTTTCGCCGCGTGCATATATTGATGTGATTCCAGTACAGAATCTTGGTAGAGAATTGCTTTTTGCAACTCTTACATTCAAAGTTGCTTTTGTTTCTCATCTTGCGCTTGCTGTCGCCATCTTTCTTGAATTTCTTGAACATGCGGACGGGATCGGTGTTGTGGACGTTCTGATAGTGCTTGGCAAGAGTGTCCGAGGTGAGAAAGATCTCGGGACACATCTCGCAATCGTACGTGTCGTTCGGCGATCTTCTACGTTTTCGAGAGTCGTTGGAGCTCTCGTCACATATCTCGTCGTCGAACTCCAAATCATCCGGTTCCTCCTTCACAATAATATCGGGAGTCTCGTAACCCTCTCTCTTGACACCAATATCCATTCTATACTCGAAAATGGCCAATTGGTCCTTCGGTACGTTATGTACATGTTCGTAATGATCGCGTATATCGTTCTCATCCGTGAAAACAGCTAGACACTGTTTGCACGTGAGGAAAACCTTGCCGTGACATTTCTTGGTGTGATCAAAAGCCTTCCACTTGGACGCGTATTGCTTGCCGCATACCTGACACGTGTTTGGATTGGAAAGAACGCTGCTGTGCTCCGACTCGACGTGTTTCTTCAAATCTTTGGGATCCTTCATGGGAATAAGGCAGACACCACAGGACACGCCAATCTCGTTTCGATGCAGCGACAGCACGTGCATCTTCAGCTTGAGCTTATTTTCCACGGTGTCGCCGCAAAAATCGCAAACGTTCGGGTTACTGTGATACTTGTGATCCTTTCGATGAGATTCCAGATCTTCTTTAGTGCGGAAGAGCTTTTTACAACTTGGATGATCGCACGTCAGATCCGGGTGATCCATGTGATTGACGCGGTTGTGCGTCATGATGCCTAGCTTGGAAGTGATCGTTTCGTTGCACAAGTGGCAAGTGTACGAGGTATGATGATTCTCGATGTGTTTCTGCAGACTCGCACGATCCTTGAATATCCTCTCGCAGGCCCGGCACCGGGTCAACAGTGCACCCGGATCTTTACGATAGTTTTGACAACCTTTCATGTGACGACGGAGCAGATAGCGCTTGTGGAATCCCTTGTTACATTTCTCACAGTAATGTAAGATACCGTCCTCCACACTTAGAGACTTGGAAGTGACGCAATTTTGATTATCCTTACCCATCGCGGGCATGAACCTATGAATCTTGGCAATATGAGCTGCCAGGTGATCTCTCGATGCGCTCGTCTTTGCGCAGTAAGGACAGGTCACGTCTGCGTGTCCTTTGTGTACCCTATTTACATGCTTCCACAAGTGCGACGTTCTGCCGTAGCACTTGTTACACAAATCGCACGGGAAGAGGCCATGTGTTATCCGTCGATGATTACACAAACTGTCCAGCGTCGTGAAGCTGACCTCGGGACACTGGTCACAACTTAACTCCACTTCCGAAACGCCATTGTTGTGATCAGGCTTGACCGATTCGTTAGTCGTTTCATTGAAACTGCTGTTATCGCACGCAGCGTCCATAGCTGCCTCCAAGCCGTGGATCTTTCTATGCCGAGACATCTTGGATTTATTCGAGTACGGTCTACCGCAAATATCACAACAGAAATCACCACTGGTTAGCGGCCAGTGTTTCGCCTTGACATGTGCGCTTAATTGCATTACGTCGGAGAATACTTTGAGACAAACGCCGCAAATTAGAGGCACCGTGTCCGAGTGCACGCCCATCACGTGTTTCCAATAATCGACGCGAGTAGGCCACAATTTTCCACATATCTCGCAGGTGTTTGGCGAGGGTCCCTGCACCGTGTGATGCTGGAGATGCTCATTGCGCAATGACTTGGTCGCAAATATCTTTCCGCAATTCTCCCATTCGCACTAGATGTGATGATGCGAGATTAGAATAACGTCTAATGCAATACGATAGGAATGCGTTTTCTTTCGTAGCTCAAACTTACTTTAATAGATGATTCGTTGCTATGCGTATTGTTGATATGCAACCAGCGCTCCCACTTGCTCGAGTGTGAACTACCGCATACCTCACAAACGAAAAATAAATGATACTGCGCCCTATTACCGTTACCGTTGACACTGAGAGTACTTCCACTACCTGCAGCGTCTCCTAATGAAACTAACTGGTCAGACTGCGACAAACAAAATTCAATTTACAAATTTATAATATCTTTTTGCCAGCATTGCGGCGACTCTTATCGAATGTTACCTTATGGGCGTTTCTTTGATGTCGTATAAGATGATCCTCGGTCGGGAAAGACTTGTAACAAATATAACAATCCACCTTCTCGCCGTCCTCTCCGTCAAAATCTAATGCCTGTTCATTTCCTTCGTTACCATTCAAATTTTCACTATAATAATTACTATTTAATTGTACAAAAGTCGCAGGGTCAAAGGCAGGATCGACATTGTGTATCGAGACGTGAGTGATAAGCTTCTTTCTCGAGTCGTGCTGTCTGCCGCATATCGTACAGCTGTACCTGCATCCATATGGTAAGGGCATATTTGTATAACGCATACTTGCGTATTATACGACAAGAACTAGCTTAATTGCAAAGCTATGGAAAATTATAATTCACAATATTGTGTAAATTCATTAAGCGTAAATTCATTAAGTGTAAAAACAAAGTAGGACGTGAGGGCGATCATACCTTCTTTGTTCCGATATTAAAAGCTTGGACCTTCCATGATACATATAGACATGGTTTTGAAGTTGCGTATTGTTAAAGCACATCTTTAAACACACTCCGCAAGTAAATGCAGCGTATTCTTTATGCATCGCTCGTATGTGTAGCCATAACGACGCTCGGTCGTTGAAGTCCCTCTTACAAGACTCACATACAAATACCGTTTCGATTTCTATATTCTCGTGATTGTTCTTATAATCTTTGTCGTCACTTTCTAAATTTATCTGTTTCAAGATAATAACGTAAGTGAATAACACGCAGCCTTTCGACATAAAAGGTAGCAATGTGTCCTTACCTCAGGTGACGACGGGGGCTCTGGTGGCTCCTTGGTCTCATTTTGTTCATAAACACTGACGTCCACTCGATCGTTCCAATTCTGAGGCATCGCCGTTGTCTTCAAACACTTGTCGCTGTCAACGATAGGAGTAGGATCAACGCCGTGTGACATTGTAATGTGCCTAATTAATGAAGATTTCAAAACGAAATCTTTCTTGCATAGTATGCAGATATACGGCTTCTCGGCATCGTGCCTAATCTCATGCTCCTTCAAACTGTCCACCGATGTAAAATTTTGCGGACAAGCCTCGCAATACCACCTCTTCTGTGGAGTCTCGCACTCTTCTAAATAAGGATACATACAGAAATTAGGTGGTTTTTAATCCTACACGTGGCATTCTCGTTCTATTGTTACTTTAATAATTAAATTTTACCTGACTTAACTATTTTTTTCGGCTTGCTGCTGGACGTTGAACCGTCATCGTCAAAATTTCGTTTTAAGCTGTCTCCTTTGGTCAGCGCTTGTTTCAATATAGTTAACTGCGGATTTTTCGCCAATTTAGCTTCGGCATTCCTAAAGTCTTTATTCTCGTCATACGAATCTACACTCGAGATATCGGACGTGTCGGCGAAAATCTTATTGTTTTGCGCTTCGGTTTGCCCCAGCGGATCCGTAGAACGTTGCTCCTGAATGCATATCTGCCGATGCGCATTGAAATCTGCTAGATCTGTATACACCATCGAACATGTTTGGCACTGATAACGAGTTTCCGTGCGCGAAAGGGGGACCGATAACTCTGGGGGTGGCGGGAGACCAGCGTGCCGCGATTTTATATGCTCGTCGAGATTATATCGCGTCGAGTATATGCGAGAACAGTACGCGCACGTGACCGCGGGATGTCCCCTGAGACAAAAAAGTTGTACAACATCAATTATAAAAGCGCCTTTAATCAGTCGCCTCCAATTAACTATTTATGTGTAAAATTATCCAAGCTGCCTTACCGATGTGTCGTCGAGACGTGTCCCCAGCGATGTTTCGCAGTAGAATACGACTTGTGACAAAGATCACACTGGTACGGTCGTTGATACGAAGTGTGGTCATCGGTGATTACTCTTTCGCCGATCACATCACCCTCACCCACGTGAATTCTCGCGTGCAGCGACAAGTGACCCTTGGAACTGAACGCTTTGTTGCACAGAGAACAGACGTAGACTTCGTGCTGTTGCGACGTTGTTGCGTGTGGAAAGACCGCGGTGTCCTGAGTAGTCGCGGCACTCGCCGCGTTGCTTGTACCGCACTCCTCTTCGTTTTCCTCGGTTACCATCGGGGTCATTTCCAAAAAGTCGCTAGGATTCGTCTCCATGTCCATCTCGTACGCCATCTCGTACTCCGATCGCCGATCTTCCGAATCGTCGATTACTGTAGCTTCAAAATATCACACGTCTTAGCGATAAACGGCTCCTTCATCAACGGCAAAATCAAAGGAATAAAGTTGAATGCCAGCATACCTTCATCCGTACCTTCGCTTGTGTCGAGAATCTCTTCGATCTCGGGATCCGCTTCACCATCCGAATTTAATCTCGGTGGTGTACCCAATGCAGCATTGGGATTCACTACGGGCGCCTCCGGAATAAGTACTGGCATATTTTCCTTTCCTTTAAGGAGCTCCGCGTGCACCTCGCCGGATTGTGCGCTGTCATTTGCGCCATCATCGCTCGCCTATCACATAACACGCAACACATTGCTATTTTCTAGAAAACTAGAAATCTGCAAATTATGATACTGACGATGTTTTGGGACGTTAATAGCGACCAAAGCTTAAAAAAAAAACAACAACAGTTTTTCTGCCGTTGTTTATTCTTTTACTATTTATTTTTATTATACAAAAGGTGACTGTTAAATTTTACAATGCACTTAAAAATATGTATCTTTAAAGTGTCACGTGTTTAATATAACTTTCAAACGAGGGAAACATTTGGAATACAAGTTCAATTAATTTCAAGAATAACTGAGATAACACGCTTGAGTAGCCCAATTTAATTGTGAGAAAAATGTGCAAAGAGTGACTTACGCCTTCCTTCGGCCTATTTCTTTCCAGCCAAGCAGCTGCGTTCACACACGCAGTCCTAAAGTCATAAAAATTTTCCAGGTTGTACATGCATCGGTAACACAGGACTTTTGGCAAACAATCGTCTTCTATTATCTGAAACAGCAATTTCGACGTTTCCATTACAAATGTGTCATGTGTTTTATATTAATTAGTCGCCACAACAATTAGCGACTAATGTCTCGATAAATTAATTCCTAATTTTGCCTCTCGCTAAAAGGTATCTGTAAATATTCCACTAGAATTAAACGTTGGTAGCAGCAATCAATAACAGTCTAGAGGGCCAAGTAAATTAGATATTGAATGGACAACAATTTTGGATGATTTCTAACTACGTAAAATAATAAATATGAGTAGAGGAAAGTCCCCTATTATGAGATAGGATCCTAATATGGGTTTCTGTTAAATTAATAGGCATCATCAGTTGGTTCCACCATAAATTTATTACCCTCGGGGCGAAATCTTTAGGTGTTGAAAACCTGCTATCTCGTAATAAAAGACTTTAAATACAATCGGCCGGGTATTTCCAGGAGTCCGTCCAGGAGTATCTTTTACTTATAAATTTATTTCTCAAAACATTAAAAACTAAATCTTTTACCAAACAAATTATATAAAAAAAAAACTGCGACAAAAAATTAACTATTGTGGCGAAAACAGCCCCAAAGAACGAGCTATATGATTATTCATACGTTGCTCATTTTTATAATAAAACTCTTCGCTACAGATGGTAAACATCTATCTGGATAATTCTCTAAGCGAAAAACAGCACGCTTTAATCTTGTATTTATTTAATAAAAGTAAAATTTTATACGTTTTGATACAATTATCGCCATGTGCTCTGTTACATTTACTTAATTTATTAATGTGCAACTATCTTAGACACGGTCCAAGAGCACGTACTCTTAAATTTCGCGAGAAACAAGTTGATATAAACGAGGCTCTTATATATTTCATCCCGTTTCTTAAAGAGCAATAAATGTGCAGTCTCGGGGAAGAGCACGTGTATCGTAAAAGATGTTTCTCCGATCGTTTGGTGGACGAGTCAAGTGCCGCGTGCTCATGTGTACAATCGAAATGTGTGACGCGCGGGATTCGGTGAATCCCATCGTGCACAAGGACGAATGAAGAAAACGACGGTAAACCGGTGGTGCACGAGGGGGCGGCGCACGTGACGGTGGAAATCGATGTCCAGGAGGAAATTGAAGGTATCGCGCCGTCACGCATCGACGAGGCGACGACGGCGGTTCGACTCTCGTGGAGGAGCATCGAACGCGTGTCGCGGCGGCAAACAAAATGTCGCCAGTGCGTCGCGCGACGAAGCGTCCCTCCTTGCGTCAGGCTGACCTCGCCGCCGCCGTCGCAACGTCCTCGATAAGCGATGGCCACCGGGTGGAATTCGTCGCCGAGGACACCGCTCGGTGAACGAGCGAGCGAGCGAGCGAGCGAGCGAACGAACGAACGAGCGAACGAACGAACGAACGAGCGAGCGAACGAACGAACGAACGAACGAACGAACGAACGAATAAACGAGCGAGCGCGATGGCCGACGGTGACGACGCGGCGGCGGGAAGAAAACCTTCACCCAGTAACGCCCCGTCGACACCGAACGAGTCGTCCGTGAATCTGCTCTTCTCTCTTTCTCTCTCCCTCCCTCCCTCTCTCTTTGACTCTGTCCGTTTCTTATCGGGAGAATGAGATCGAGGACGAGTCGCGCAGGGCCACAAAGTACCGAGGGAGGTGATTCAGAAAAGTATGCGAAATTGAGAAAGAAGGAAAAACGAGGGACGCTGCGGAAGACGAAACAAGACAGATAGAGAGGAAGAGAGAGAGAGAGAAACAGATCGAAAACGAGTCCCACGAGGAACAGGATAACATCAGCATGGCAAAGAAGGCGAGAACAAAGAGAAGGAGACTTACCTTGAACGGCAAGCACGTCTGGATCTTGTCAACGAGCTGGCGATTCTTGCCCTCCTGGCCGAAAATGTGCATCCTAACGGCGTCGAAGGAAGCGCAGAGGCGACACAGATCGTGATAAGACTTTCTCGGCTCCGTCGCCATCGTTGTCGCTGTCGACGTCGACGTCGTCGTCGTCGTCGTAGTCATCGATATCGTCGCCATCGTAATGTCGCTCTCTGGCGAGAAAGCACCGCGTCCCTCGCTTGCTCACGCTCTCTCACTCGCGCGCGCTCTTTCTCTCCGTCCCTCTTTCCGTCCCTCTCCCGCTTGCCCCCGTAGCAGCGTCGCCGTCGGCGTCGATGGCGAGACTACGGGGAGCGAGGCGTCGACACGCTACCTCCGCACACCCAGCCGGACGGACGAGAACTGCGATGGACGTCGAGGACGCGGTAGCCTCGTAGCCTCGCTGCCCGGGGCCGAGTATCCGTCTCGCTCTCCCACCGAGAAGGCCCACACCTCGGTCGCGCTCGTCTACCTGCCTACGCGCCTACGTCCCAGTCCGCTACCTGCCTCACCAACCACCGCTGGCCATCGAGTCGCTGCCGCTTCTTCCGTTCCTCGGGCCGCATCCTTCGAGACGCCTCCGCCGCCGCTACCGCCGCTGCCGTCGCCGTCGCTACCGCCGCCGCAGCCGTCGTGACGCTCGGCTCGCTGCGATACCGCTCTACCCGGGATAGGCTAGGCAGCGCACTGCCCTGCACCGCTCCGCACCGCACTGCACTCCGTCCCGTGCCACGCCACGCCACGCCGCGAGGCTCCGCGCCGCGCCGCGCCGAGCCGCGCCGCACCGGTCGGTCGGCGGTCGGGCGGATCGGGTCGGGTCGGCTCGTCGTTGTCGCCGTAGCACGCAGCCTCCGGCCACCACGCTCGCACGATTCACTTCACGCCCGTCGCTGCGGCATCGCCGACACGCGCTGCTGCTTCCTGGCGATCTGAGCGACAGTGAAAACTCCGGGCGCCGCCATCTTGTATACAGACACTTGTTTCGCCGCCGCCGCCGCCGCCGCCGCCGCCGCCGGTACAGCGGAGCTCCGGCGTCACGCAACGTGCAACGACGCGGCGAGCCCGGCCGAGCGCGCGCTGCCGCCTTTTTGGAAATCGCATTGTCCCACTCGCACGGTTCGCACGGGAGGGAAAAAAAATTCGAGAACGGCGCCGCGCGCGCGCACGTGACATCGCGCGCCACCATTGCCGCGTCCGCCCACGTGTGCGCCGCGGCGCCGTCGATTGGCCATTGCCGCGAGCGCGAGCCGATCCTCGCCCGCCCATTCGCCGCGGCTCTCGCTCGTCACAGCATTTTGAATCCTCTCCATCGATTTAAGCGTCAATTAGTGTGTTCGGTTTATCGCGCCGAGCGCCTTTATACGTCGCGTTTCCATTATGCCCTTCTAATCGTTTCTTCTTACTAAGGAAAATGTTTTGCACGGTCGGCGAGACTCTACTGTCATTTTAAAAACAGACTTTTCTCGACAAGAGAGTTCAATACATAGGATATCTCCACAAGCGATAAACTTGAAGCGTGACCACTGATTCCGCTTCGTTTACAGAGAGCTCGACGATACGTATAGACATTGAGACTTTGTTGTACAAGAAAAACCATCACCCTGTGTCTATCGAGCCTACATTCTTGCTTTGCTTGTTTTTAAAAGAAATTTTACCACTTCTTTACTTTTCCAAACAGCTCGGAAAAGAAAATCTAGTGTGCCATTTGCTTTTTTATAATGTACCCTGAATTGTGTGAAAGATCGAGTCTTTTCTCCCTCACAATAATTGAAAATTTTACCTGCGGCATGGATAAAATCTGCAGTTATCTTCTTTGTGATTCATGGACAAAAATATCAATACCAGATCTATTTCTACACGTTCGTGATACGAGTAAACAATAAGTGTGAGCTGGATATAATAATACATTAGGCGTATATTAATACACAACTTAATTAAGACGCAAAGTGGCGTCAATTGTAGGCGATACGCGAGACATGTATATACCCATTTATTCCTTTAGCTTTGTAAAACATAAAACACATCTGAAACATTTCTATTATTCCACGTTCCATTTGACATTACACTTAAAAAAAAGATAAAACTTAAATGCCAGATCATTGTCACTAAACACTCTTTTAGTCTCACCCTTGAGTGAATTTTAGCGCAAAGAAACGAGATACGTATCTATTTATTCTTTTGTTATTTAAAACATAAAACACATTACACTTAAAAAAAAAAGAGAAAACTTAGTCTCGCCCTTGAGTGAAATTTAGCGCAAAGAAATGTCAAGACTCATTATGTAATTTTATTGTAACCTATAATTTTCCAAAGTTGATAGTAATTACACTCGTAATAATTACATTATTAATAGACTACTTTTCCAATTCACAGCTGGCTGGAACCTGAATGGCAAATATTAACGCTACTCCTACGTCAATAAATGACGCTCGTAACGTTCGCGAACTTTAGACGGATCAGAGTGCGCAAAATGTTCCCAAAACAATGGCTCTCTATAGTGATTCTCGTTGTCCAGGTAGAATATGGGTTCCCCATAATACGTTCCAACTTCCCATCTGTCGACATTCTTCATCAATTCCCCTTCCGCATCCCGATTACGTCTCATTTGTTTCAAGACACTGTGTGGAGAGAAAAGAAACGATTGCAAAGGTTTAAGATTGTCAGATAAACTTAATCTACAATGCGCTCTTTGCGTCTAAAAACATTCCATCTTGTAGGAGCAAATTAAAACGCTTAAAAACTGTATCAATATACGATTACAGAATGTTATGTACAATTTGGCGCAGAAAGTTAAGCGCAGTGAAGCTCCAGTGAGCCGATTGGGTTTTATTCAATCGCCGCCTCTCAGAAGGAAGAGGCGACCCAAGAGAGTAATTTGCCAGACAAACTCGTAGACAGAGCCGTTCGGAATCGGTGTAAAATTGTAGCTCCCGTGTATCTGGTACAGATATATGTAGAGGAGTCACGACACCAAGTGAGAAATTGGCTATAAGGCGATTTTTTGGTACATATACCAAGGTGTACCAGAGTGTACCTGAAAATAGCTGTCAAGTTCAATATGTTCCGAAAGAAAAATTCATTGTATTAAAATAAATTTTCCTATTGGATATCTTTTAGCGTCTTTCTTCAGGCATTCATGACGCCGAGTGTATACTCTGGTAGACTTTTGGTATATGTTGTCAAAACAGTTGTCAAAAATGGTCTAAAATACAATAGATTTCTAGAGCCAAGGAGCACATTGTAGACGAGGCTTCAAGCAGCCGAAACTCGACGCGATTCAAGTTAATAGACACGACACCCTTACCTTCTGTCACGTTCCGCTATCAACGCTGGAAAAATAGCCATGCGTGCGCTTCTCTTCTCGACCTCCTGGTGCCTGACCAACTTGTGATTCAGATAGTAGAGATAGAATCCGACGACAGAGGTGCCTACGAAAAGTCCGATCGTGGATTTAGCTGTAAAGTTTCACAACATTATTACATAACTCGACGTGTCCCATAACCTCGTTGACTAGTTGGCAAGATCAGTCGCAGCGAATCTTTACCGCCGAGAATGGAGCGTAATTTCACCCTTTCCGTTTGAATGGGTCCGTAGCCGCCCTTCGGTGGGAGATCCTGCACCCTTCTACCCTCCGCCGTCGCGCTCATCTCGGCAGATTCCCTCTCGGAGGCGACGTTTCGTCGTACTGGAACGTCACTCGACGCGCGATAACTGGCGAGGACTCGAAAATATTCGTCCCTCTTATACTACAGTCAAGTATCGGGTCTATCGGGACTATTGCTAAATATCAACGATCGTCGGCCAGCGGCCACGCACGGCCATATTTTAAGTAGGCGACAAACGACCATAGAGATGTCCATTCTCACCTTGAGAATGGGTCGGGCGGCAAGTGTAGTTAAAAGCAATCGAAAAAGTCTTTATTGATCCAAGTACAAAGAGTAATCCCTCGAGATGCGACGCGGCATTTGGAACTTTATTTCGCAGGCTCTGCAAAGTAGTCCCGAAAAGGAGTAGTAATAAATAAGTCTACAATTGACGATTTAAGCCTTGAGCCTTAAGAAATGGACTAATCACAGTCACGTATTCTACCTCGTACCTCACCGCGATTGGCCAATTTCTTATAGCGAATTCGATTGCCTGCACTAGTGCGCACTGAATGCACACTAAGTCCCAGTCTACAATAGATGATTTAAGCCCTAAGCTTTAAGAAATTGGCCAATCACGGTCAAGTATGAGTAGAATGCGCGACTGTGATTAGTCAATTTCTTAAGGCTTAGGGCTTAAATCTCTATTGTAGACTGGGACTAACCCCTGGTCCACAATCTTGCTTTAAGTAAGTTGTAAGCCTTAAGCCGTAAGAAATTAACCAATCGCAGGCATTTATTCCCCTCACTCTCACCTGTGATTGGTTAATTTCTTACGGCTTAAGGCTTACAACTTACTTAAAGCAAGATTGTGGACCAGGGGTAAAGCCTCCGCTACAATGATTCTCGGTTCTGTCTACAATGGTCGTAGTCGTAAGAATAATCGACTGCGATTGGTCAATTCTTATCGAGCGACTACGACTACGACCATTGTAGACAGAACCGAGAATCATTGTAGCGGAGGCTTAAAGCCTCGTCTACACAAAAGTCGTAAAGTCGTAGTCGTAAGAATAGTCGACTGTGATTGGTCAATTCTTATGTATCTGACGGAATTGACCAATCGCAGTCGATTATACTTACGACTACGACTTTACGACTTCTATGTAGACGAGGCTTAATGCGTGGTCTACAATACGAGTCGCAGAGTCGTAGTCGTAAGAATAATCGACTGCGATTGGTCAATTTCGTCAAACACATAAGAATTGACCAATCATAGTCGACTATTCTTACGATTACGACTTTACGACGTCTATGTAGACGAGGCTTAAA